TTGAACGGGTATTTATCATTTTGCAGCAACAAAGCAATTGGTTAAATGAAACAGCATATTCATGTTCTTCTTTCTTTTTTATTTTCTAGTTACAAAGAAAGTCTATGGATCTGGTGCAGAGGGAAATGATAGGATAAAGTAGAGGCAAATCAACCTGGTTGGATTTGAATGCTAAACTGCTATAGTTTAATTTATCTAGGGTGTGTTTGGGTAGACACCTTAATTAAACATTCTCCGATAAGCTTTTAGCACACGAACATTTATGCAGCTGCTTTGAATTTTAAGGAAGCTCTAATAAATATTTAATAGGCCCCTTTAATTTGTGGATCAGCAGCCCATTATATAGAGGCGACAAGCAAAAGGAGGCTTGTTTGATAATCTATCAATAAACTTTCGTGTCTGACTCAAGTGCCAAAACAAATATGAATTGAACATTACACTTCTCAATTTGGTTGCATATATTTATAACAATATACCGCTAAATATAAAAATCAACATACCTGAGATTGGTAGTTCCAGATACATACAGTTCCAGAGTATAAACTTGCAAGAATCCTGCATTAACAATGGTAACATCACACAATTCAGTGAAACATCCAAATATCAACCATATACCTATCTTTCTAATCCCCACAGTAAAAAAATAACGTCAACAGTGTTCCCACATAACAGACACAACCATTAGTGCCAAATGTTCACAAACTATCCTTTTAGAAGCCACACTTGATAAATACCAAATGATGGAATCAATTCTAGATATTCCTAATTCGTATTCGTAATGAGTAACAATTCATAATGCTGCGTATAAATTTGGCTTCATATCATAAAACAATTCCAGAGATGAAATAGCACGACCCGACACCACCAAACAAGGCATTACCATGGTTCTGTTGGATGTAGATCCACAGACTTTACTCTCTCTGATCTCTGCGCAAGCTTTCGCTGTTCAAATATTAAGAAAACACGTCAGTTTAAGCAGCCAGAAAGCTATAAAACAATAAACAAACTAAACCTCAAACCAAAAGCCGAGAGAACCGTACCTTGATTTCGAGTCTGAGAGGCTGCAAAAGCAATCAAGAAAGAAAGAAACAAACAAAAAGGAGTCAATGCACAATTCCACATTAGATCCCGCAGGAACTGAACTAACAAAGCAAAACCAGGAGGCTCGCGTTTGAAGTCACAGATACAGAAGCGATTGAAATTCGAATAAGGAGATAGCGTAATAAGAAAACACCAAATCGAAGCGAGTCCGCTCCAGATCTAGGATTGTCGAAAACAGTGAAGCGTTCGTTCGCGAGAGAAGAGACGAAACTCACCATTTCCGAAGATTGAAGGAACTAAACAAAACTCGTCGCAGATCAGAAGTCGAATTGGAAGAGCTCAAGAGATCGAGCTCAGAGAGAGAGAGAGAGAGAGAGAGAGAGAGAGAGAGAGAAAGGGGAAGGCGACGAGGTTTTGCAGTGCAGAGAGTGCAAATATGATGATCGATGGGAAACAAAGGGGGAACGGAACGGAACGCTGCTTTTCGGTTAAGACACGGATTTACGAGAATGCCACTGTCAGTGTCGTATGTCCAATGCGTTGTCGTTTGGATGCGATTGCTAGTAGGGTGAACGGTGAAGGGATCTAAGATAGAATGAAACGGAGATGATAAAATGGACGGCGTAGATCTAATCATACCCGTCAGTTGCACTGTCTGTAGGAGGGGTTTGAGTTGGGTACCCTTCTTAAAAAAAATAAAATTCCTTAGTTATCCAGATCAAGGGCTTAAAAAGAAAAATGAAATGTTATTTTATTTTTATTTTTTTTTACAATCACCCTCGTTTAAAGAGAACAAGGCACAGTTATTAAATATGGATATTTTTTTAAATAAAAATTTGACTGTTGATTTTGTTATGTTGTAAGAGATTAATTACTTTTGGCAAGCTAAATTTGCATTAATTAAGTTGATGCTAACAACTTAATTTTTTTAGACAATTGTTTGTACAAAAGTAAAGTAATCCACGATTATGACGTGATACCTCTCAACAGTGGTAAAACAAAGAAATCGAGTGGTTCGAATAAAATTACTTCTATAAAGGACACTTGTGAATTGTACAATAGAGAGATGTAGACAAACAAGGATGAAAGCATATAGAAAAATATGGTTCTTATAGACAGAAATCGAAGAAAAATGGTTAATACAAAGCAGATGTTCACAAATAGGACTATTAAATGAAAAGGTCACGATTAGCATTCCAAATAACAATTACAGGGTCATGTTTCTTCTCCTATATAAGTATTGATTCAACAATAATAATGTTAAGAATAGGTCCAATAATTTCAAATATTTTGTATAATGGATGGAAGGACTATTAGTTAGAGTTATAACTAAAATAGTCAAAGACTTCTCAAAGCTTTGATGGAGTTATTTGATAAAATAAGTTTAAATAAACAATTGCATAATCCAATAATTATCACATTTGCATATTTTGAAGATAATTTTAACCAAATTAAAGATAATAATTAGGAGAACTCAATGAGTTTGACTTATATTGACTATTCCTTCTTATTTCAAATATAAGAAGAAGAAAAATCATGTTTACTCTCAATATAAGTAACTAAAAAAAATGATGTTTGTTGGTCTTAAATGTAAGTAAAATTTAACTATTTTCACCTTATTTCATAACAATTTATTGATTTTATTTGATAATTTTTTTGTATTCCTAATATAAGCTTTAATAGAGTATTTCAGGAAACAAGTATTTTTTAAATAAGATTGACATAATTAAATTATGCTAGACTAACTTTTTGATTTTTTTTCCTTTTTATATTCAAGATAGGTTACGAGTGTAATGTAACTAACTATTATGTGTTTATGGATGCATTTGATACACATTAAGATTTGGGGTGATGTTGATTGTGTCCTTCACCTTTTTTGTTTTGTTTCATAATTCTGTTAATTAAATATAAGATAGTTACATTTATTCTGTCTAATACAATAATTTTTAGTGAATATGGATCCTACATTTTTTTTTTGTCAACTTGAATTTACATTTACAATTGGACAATAATGGATCTAATCGACAGAATTAATTGGAACCAATAACAATTTATAATGTGTTTATTTGCACATTTTTTTATGTGATTTCCCTTGTTGTCCATGTAATTTTTCACATTTGACAAACTATATGTTATATGAAAATATAATGATAATGTTTAAAATAGTCGGATATATAAATATATAAATTAAAGGTTGAGACTAGATACATGTTACTTTCGATATATTTTTTAAAATTTGAGAATTATATTATACGTAAAAATGAAATATCCATTTTGTTCTTGGATTTATCGTAGGAAGTAGGAACCAATGGCCAAAATTGTAGTTGAGTTATGGTGATGTTGTTCATAAAACAACCTTTTAGCTTTTTCAGATTTGTGTGTTGCAGCAAAAGGAACAACAGTCACGTTATGATGGACAAAAATGGTGGTCACTGTGCTTCAACACCTCTACATCACTTACTCCGCCAAGCATTGCGATCATGTCCCCGTAGAACACTCGGTCATCGTTTCTCCCATGTTCATGCGATCACTCATGTACACATCAAACACAGGAACATGATATGAAAGTCCAAATCAACACAGCATTGTACCTCACATGGTGGTCAAGGTAGCGGCAGACTTCAACACAAATGCGTTACGGGAATGTCGTGAAGGTTCGAAGGTTGGGTGGCGTTGCCGATGTTGGTCGAAAGCGTGGTCGCCGACGAAGGGGTGTCGAGTTGCCACACAATGACTCGTCATCCAGTTCTCCCTAATTGGGAATAAAGAGTGAGAAGGGTCTAGTCTATAATTTCACACATTAAAAGTCATTAATTATTTAACCAATTATAAAAGATATTACCTACAATACCCCTACATTCACTTCCTCGTGTGAATCATTCAGTGAATTTGTCCACCCTAACGATTGTCCATGTTATATAACTTTCACATTTCAAGACTAAATTCACATGATTATTGTTTCCAGATGTGTTTCCAAATATGTACTTATTCTACGGTTGAATTAGATGAGTCTCAACTTATTGCATGTTTAGTTTTCCTTGGAACACATGATTTCACTTTCTAATACATGAAATATAAAAACAAGACTATTATTTTGAAATTAAAGTAGATTGAGTTAACCTTAACTTATTTCTAAACACATAATTTTTCATGTTTGAAAAATTAAGAGTGTATTTAAATATTTGTTTTAAAACATTGGAATATGTATTTTAACTTTTCAATGCATAAAATTCAAAATTAACAAATGTATTACTTTGAAGGAAAAGTGAATTTAGTTAAACTCAACTTTTATCCAAATACACTAAATGTTATGATTTCACATTTTGAGGCTAAATTGACATGAATATTGTTTTCACGAGTTTCTAAGAACATCTGCAGTGGGAGTTGCTTATAAGCAATCCCTTGTACCACGTCATGTCACATCAACTCTTTTTCACTTTTTTTTAAGCACTGGAACTTCTACAAGCAACTTTGCTAAAATTTAAACAATTTATAAACAATAAAAAGAGTTGATGTGGTTTGATATGACATAGGGAGTTGCTTATAAGCAACCCCCACTGCAGATGCTCTCAGCACTTATTCTGCAGTTGTATTAGATGATTCTCTAGCGAACATAAAAACAAAATGACTGCCAACCCGTCCAAGTCCAAGAAATTGATAGTGAAATATGTAATATGTCGGCCAAAAAAAAAATGATTTACATGAGGGCATGAGGCACGATGTTATCGCAAGTTTCAACGAAAAGTCTGCACAGGCCACAAATTGACCACACCACGAGTAAATAATCTCCAGAGAACAAAACTTGAATCACACCACCAGTAAATAATCTCCAGTTCGACCGCAGAGTAGATCATGTTATAACTATTATTGATTAAGTCCTCTCAATCTCAGATTTCTCACTAATTTTGTGAATTAAAACCAAACAAGCTCATTTAAAATTGCCATCTCTACATAAAGGCTGTGGAAAAGGTAATGTGCATTTGTATTAGAAATCGAAAGAAGGAAATGTCACAGGGGGAAGAAACAGAGGGAGACTGAACCTTGAGACAGCAGATAAAGTCAATCCATTTAAATAAAACCTACGCAAAGGGAAATCTCAAGTAGATACTTTTCTGACATAAACAAACACTAACAGACTACATCCTTCAATTCTGCTCAAGAAACACTCTGATACAACGCAAAGTGATATAATGTACGGGTAAACCTCCTTAGATCTTGTTAATCATATGGTATTTGGATATATGCTGCGTCACAGATGAAAGGAATGTCAGCATACATACCAACAAGAGCACACCTTATGCACTCCAAGACAGTAAAAAGATAACCAAATGATACTGCAGTCCAGAAATGCATTCCCATTTTACCCCAGTAGAGTGATAGAGGCATCCAACGGCTCACAGTCCCTATAACCTGCAGGGCAATCTCCAGTAACATTCCCATCACAACATGGAACCTGAAGAAATGGGGCCATTCTTTTCGCCTCACAATTCCGAGATATGCAACAAAGAAGTATGCCATGAGAAACCAGCTAGGTAGGCTCCCAATTGCCATGAGAAAAGGGTATGTATAGAATTCGAAGAATTCCAAAAACGGGTGAAGATTGTATGCTGTCTCAGCATACATCCATGTCTCGTGGAGAGGCATGAGGTAAGGGAGGCATGCTAATGATCTCCACCACCATTGCGGTTTCTTGGTCATTGGAGGATAACGGAAGCTAGTTGGGACATCCTTCGATGCTCGAGGAGCCATATTAGACTTGCGCAACCGGGGTAACACAGGGAGTGTGCGAAAGAGAATATTTAGATCCCCACTTAAACGTAGGCTTGATGCAGCAAACATGTTTGAGAATGTCATTCCTATCACACAAAAATGTATAAACAATTCGGTTAAAATATTGTATAGTCCTCGACATGAGAAGTGTTGAGGATCACAAGTTAGCCAGTGTTATAGCCAAAATATCACCTCCTGTGCTACCTTTTGGGGTGAGTTGAGTGAGTTAGGTTTAAACACAAATTATAAGAGCATGGGAAATCAAACAATAATCTCACAAGTCACAAGTCATAAACTGAATAATTCAAATCATAACAATTATCAGTGAACGAGTTAAGATAAGTAAAGCATGCCATTACCTCTTGGCAACCAGGATTTACATTCTAGATTATGTCCCCAAAAACTCCGAATGTTTGAGACAGCCACATTAGCAGGCATTCGAGAAGCGCAACGAAAGACAGAGGTATTGGGTATGACACGGTTGCACGACCTAGAATTCACAGGGGCACACCCTTGGGATACAATGCAACCATTTTGAATCATGGTTGGTCAACTGATACAATAACACTAATAATAAGAACACAAAGAAAATGACAACCCAAACAAAAATGAATATTGAGAAGAATTAGACAAAAGGTATACCTGAGTCCCAGAAACAATTTCCAACGAGTCCTACTTAGTGACTCCAGCGTTGAGGGAATTTGCAATGTTGGTGTTTAGGTTTATCTGCTAGCGTCTGCACACATCTATTTTCACGAAAGAAAGAGATAAAGAAAACTGGTGCGTGTCTCCACTGGGCCCGAGAATATTTTGGAGAGTTCAAGTACGGGCCCAATCTTGCGACCCAAACTAGTTGTGGGAGGAGCCAAAGCCCAAACAAAGGCTTGTTCAAGTATTGGCCCAATGTAGCTCTCACAAGTGAAACACGTGATAACGAAGAACTTGTTTTCAATTTGAATTAATCACCTATACAAACCAATTATATATTTTAATTGTACCATGTTACTATAAACACATTTATTTTTAACAGTGACATGACACAATTAAAAGATATAATTAGTTATTAGTGTAAAAAAACTTTACACTAGCATAATATAGGTGATTAACTTTTTCAATTTTGACATGTTTGTTTGTGTTAGCAAAGAATAAGAGAGTCCTGAAGCATGGACATTAATTCTTCTACTGATGATTGACCAGCATGTGCTAATTAAAATTTTCAAGACTCGAGTTGACCTCAGAATTTATGTTTGGTGTAACCGTGTAAGGAAGAAAGTAAAAGGAAAAAAAAATGAAAGTGAGATAGTAATCGGTAAGTTAAACAATCCTTTTTCTAAATTGTTTGGTAAGAAATAAAATAAAAAGGAGTTAAGTATCAAATTATATCCAGAGAGAATAAAAAGTTATATACTATGTATCGAAATTAAACTCATGTTTTTATGGGGTATTTAAGTTAATGTAATTACATGTTGTTAGGATACATTACCCCCTAGAGTCAACGCTCAATAGAAGAAAAGTGTTCAAAAGCTTTAATTCAAAAGTTAACGTAATTACATGTTGTTGGGATATTGCTTGATCATGATTGAATTTTAACAATTATTTAGGGTAACATCATAAGGTATCTATTTCCATAATAATAAGATGTTTTCAATATACAAAGAGTTCGTTCTGCCAGTTGAGCCACATTGTGTGGTTTAACCAAATTTCCTTCCCTGCACTATGTCATGTACCCCCCATTTTTTATTTTAAACAAAAAGAGGTAATAATAATAACAATAGTCCCAAGAGGAACGGCATTTTAGGAAAACCAAAATTGAATCAATCATTGTAAGTAGGAAAGTAACAAAGTAGAAGTGCAGATGTATTTGAACCATCAGGCATATTCCAAGAATAAACTTCTCCACTTTCCAATTTTCTCAAAGCCACGTTCATCCATCAGAACAAGAAATGACCCGAAAGAAGCACTAAAGCACCATAACGAGTATCCTAACATTAATTTGTCTCAACTCTTTTGCTATTTGACACAAGTGTGGATTCCATTCATGTTACTTTAATTCTTTGTGGTCCTAATTAAACAAAGGAACACATGCTCTTGTTATATGAATATTGGTTCAAGGTGTAATGTCTGTAAATATCAAAGGTTGGGACTAGCCTGGCTTCTTCTTAATGCCTAGTGGTTAGCTTAGGTCAAAAGAAACTATGAATTGATTAGGCTATCATAGCATTACTTATGAACCCTTCTTTGTCCTTTTGTCTTTTCTTACACCAACCAACAAGGTGGTCTATGTCTAAAAGAAAATTTCTGCAACAAAATTTTTTGAATTAATGCTGCTGCTAAGATATAACTGACCACCAAGATATTTAACGGCTAAATTTTTTTTTTTAAGAATTAATTTATTCAATAGTCCCACTATATATGGCTCCACTTATGGACTTACCTATTTAAGATTCAATTGAATGGTCTCAAACTTTTTGGAAATATTAAAAAAATAATTGCCATTGAATTTTATGTTATTACTATTGTTTGGTTTGTACCAATTAAGAATATATGTAACAAATAATTGGAGACTAAATTTTTTTAAAACAAAAAATATTAAAGTGAACAAATTCTTTTTTTATTTTTATTTTTATACATGATCAATAATTAAACTCTTGGTAACATACATAAAAAAAAATTCAGTTATCTATCAATTACTTTACTTTAGAATCTTGTCAACTTTGTGATTTATGCTAATCTTATTCATTGTGTATAGAAAAAGTTTTCTTTATACTTGCTAAAAGTAATTAGATACTTGAGAAAATTGGCAACAACTCCGTACTAATTAACAGAGTGGATTAAGAATCTAATTCAACTTTATAAAATTAATTTGTAAGGTGAAAATTATTTCTTATTTATATACATTATTATGATCTTATTTCTAATTGATTTGAAATCTCTATTTCTAATACGCTCCTCTCACATTGAAAATTGGACATTTCAAACTTGAAATTTGCACAATTAAATAACTACAAATGATACGATAACGACCTAATAATGGATAACTTAATAAATATACTAACAATCAATAATTACTGGGATATAAATTTTGATATGCTGTAATACTATATTAATAAAATAGATTAAAAATATAATTTAATCTTATAAAATCGATTTATAAAATAAGGTTGAAATATGCATTTTATTATCTTACTTGCTTTTGACGTAGCCTTGTTAATAAATCTATGTTATATATTATTAATAATGCTCGGTGCATCAATAGCAGGAGTTTTGTTCCTGCTCCCATCCACAAGTGGTCCTTTAATTAAATTTTCTTTTCATTGCGGCAGAAAGAATGCCTTTGAGAAAAATTATGTTGAAAAGGAAGAACCAAATTCCTTTCAGCTAAATAAAATGCAGGTGGTCGAATATGTGTATGAATTAAGACCTCAACGCTGACCTACAATAACAAATAGCTATCTCTAAGTTGAGCTGTCATCGATGGCAATCCATGTGTTCCCATCAAACTTTTCTTTTTTCTTTTTCTAAATCACACATGATTTGAGATAATCCTATTTAAATTCGATGAAACTATTATGTATAACAAAGTTGTAAAATAATAAGATACTCAAAATTTGAATTTGAAATAATTAGTAATTAGTTAAAGTAGAACAATCTCACATAAATTAATTCATACATTTAGTTATCTTTTAATTTATTTTTTCTTAATAAGCGGACAACCTTTCAAAATGGGTCTAATTAAGTAGAAAGGTAAGTGCATGTGGTCCACCATTTTGTTCCTTTTGAATTGGCAACTTATTTGATCCATCAATTGTGGATACCTTGATAAATCTTGCATAAAATTTTTTCCTTATCTTGTACAATCTTTTTCTAGGAAGCAATCAAACACAACTCCCTCTCGCCGCATATACAGGTCCGTGTCTTTTCCCTTCAGTTTTGAATTGAGTGAACAAAAGAAACAGAATCTACTCATTTGGCCAGTGCTCCACCCAAGTCAAAATATCTACCTTATTGCTTCACAAACTTTATTGGTTCTTTGTATATTAATGTGAGAATAGGGTTCACAGTTGAGCTTGGAGAAAACTTTTGACTACCCAGATTCTGTCTAAGGAACTAAGACAAGTGCTACACATTTTTTTCAGCTCTTTTGGCACAAAAAAAAATTAGGAGGGTATGTATGTTCCCTGTTCCAAAGCAAAGATTCAACCAACCCCCTTCAAGTTATTCAAGTTTTTTCAATTTGCTTACCCATCTGCATGTTTTCATTGAAAACAAATTTGTGAAATAAAATTGGTAGCAAGAAAATCAAAATCACGTAAAAATATAGGCAGGGTGTTGTTTGCTCTACATAGGAAAGAAGCAACTTAATAGCTAAAGGAAATAACCAGTTATCCACATACCTAAAGTTGAGCCATTTCATTTCCAAATAAATAAAATGAATTTGAGCCATTTCCTAGATCCATATAATGTCCATTTTGTCTATCCACTTGTATTTTTAAATATTTTTTGATCGACAAAATGTTATTAAGTTCATTATTTACACTAGTTTCAATTTTAAGTTTTTTACTGCTTCGAAAGTGATGGAAGCACTTGGAGAGAAGTCTTGTAGAATCTTGCAAAATCTTAAAAGTCATGAAAATCCTGCAAAGTCTTTTAAAATCCGCAGGATTTTTTTAAACTAAAAAAGTCCTTTAAAATCCTAATCCAATACACCCCCCTTAATATAATATAACTAAAGATTAAATTTATGACTCGTCGGCTTTTCCAATTAAGAATTTAAATTATGTGTAACTTTTATCTTCTTTTTTTTGTGTGTAAGGAATGTTAGAAATGCACTACTTGTTTTTAATAATTATAATTTATTAAAAATTATAAAATTAGGAAAGTGAGTCATTAAATGATACGTGAAATTCATCAAATTTTATATTTTTTTAAACTTTTAACCAATGAGAGAAAATATGTTTGAAAG